ATACCATTATTATCAATATTATCACATATATTATCATCACTATCATTATTATTATTACCATTCTCTTTGCTGTTATCATTAATAATGAATGAGCAATAATGATAATGATATCAATAATATCAATGACAGTAGCAGTAGTAGTAGTAGTAGTAGTAGTAGTAGTAGTAGTAGTAGTATTTTTGTTTGTTGTTGTGTTGTTGTTGTTGTTGTTGTTGTTGTTTTGCTGTTTGTTTTGTTGTAGTAGTAGTAGTAATTTAAATGTTTAGTAAAATAACAAGATGATTAAGATAATCATATTATCACAACATTAACAGCTATAATGTTAATCATTATGAAATCATACATATGATGGGATCTCAACAATCATAATGATTATTGATATGTGTAACAACTTTTAACTCTATGATTCACTCGTACTTCTGTTTGATTCATACCCGTATATAATATTGACATTATCATTGTGCATTTATTTTCTTTACAATGTTACTTCAAATGCCTAAATCTTTGTCATATATAGTGCGTGTATCACCATTTCTCCGAGAGACGGGTTGTCGTTATTCGCACAATAAAAATAGTGCGAATTGTATTTTCCCTGATTCGTTCACATAGAAGGTATAAAATGCTGGCTTTGCCTGTCTTAAATCTTTGTTTATAAAAGTAACACGTTGATATAAAAAACTATTGCATATTTACATAGAAATATGAAATATTTAATTCTACCAGAGATGCATTTTCCATCTGAATGACAGAAGACATAGGTCCTGCCTAACAGAAAGATGTTTTTTTATATACTTTTAGCAATGATGTATACAAGAAAAGAGTTCTGTATCAGAAAATACATTCAAACTATGGTGCATAAAACTGACAAAAATTATATTAATTGCTGTACTCGAATGCATTGTCTGTTTTCCCTGTTTGCAGGACTCGGAACCGCTATAGGCCTATCTATTGATCTTAGAAGGATATATTTTATAAAGAAGGCGTTACAAGACACCTTTTCGTAATATATGTATGTATATATATAAATATATGTATGTATATATCGTTTGATTCATGTGAAATCTGTCTTGCATTTTCCTATAATTCTTATTTTCTTTACATTCGGGGAATTTCGAATGAATTGTTTACATTGATTTTGGATTAATTACATTGATTTTGCAATTGTAATACATATTTTTCTTGACATGCAGTTGCTATAACAGATTTTGATTTATTTATATTCATCTTTTGAAGACAAATGAAACGCCCATCACACGCCGTCCAGGAACTCGACACTGCATATCTTATTTGAATAAAAAAATATAGAATGTAAAAAATATAAAGAAAAGTAATTATTCTTTTTAAACCTTGATATATAACAATATTTATTTTGAGAATTTGGTTAATCTTTAAACGGCATATCAGTGTTGATATTTAGTTTAGTGGAAAAAAATCTTACAGCATATTTTCAATTTCAAATTACATATGATACTCTCATAACTTCTAAATTTAACCGATTACATATTATAAGCTCCCAACTTTGCTTTATTCATCTTCTATAAGGCAAAATGCTTTAAAAATCCTGGGCAGCTTTTCGAGTAGAGCGTAGAGTCCCAGACAGACGAGTGTCGTGAGCCTGAGCCGTGCAGACGCCTGGGTACTATTGATTCTTACGGGAAGGATTCAAGGTAATCTACATCTCTCCTTTCGCACAAACGGGGCAATCGGCGTGAGAACGGGCTCGGGAATGTAACGCCCTTTCCCCCCTGGTAGAAAGGGACGTGCCAGGAGTGCTGAGAAAGTGAAAATCGCGTGTAGAGCGTGGCGGCCGTGATGAAGGTGCCACGAGTAAGGAATGTTTTGACTTGACCTCCCAGCCTCTCGCGTCCCTCTCCTTTATCAGTTGGCCAGCCTCTCCTCCTTCCCCCTGCCCGTGCCGCCTGCCCTCGGGTCCCCTGGCGTCCCCTCCTGGCGCCCTGCAGGTGAGGAAGCGGCTGGGAGGAGTGGAAGGACGGAACCGAGGGAAATAGGCTTGTGCCAGGTCTTCTCGGTGCATGACTGATGGGGCCCTGTGCATGACTGCTTGCAAGCCGCTGTTTGGGCTCAGTTCCCGCCTTCATTCGGCCCCCTGTGTGATCGATTGGTATTGCCCTAAAGAGTAGGAGAATGCTGTTGTTATTCTTGGTATTTTACATTTCGTGACTGATGTGTTTGTCAGAGTAAACAATCCCATGAAAGAAAAAAGCTTTCTGTCCCTTTTAGTCTGTGTTTGTGTTTCATGCCAGAATAGTTACTGTTTTTGAGATATGTCTACATATATTACAAGGTAAACAGTACATACAGTCTGTTGATAGGTTGTCTCAAGCATCTTTCGGTATTTGATTCATGGATATCAGTCAGGCTTTCATAGTAAATACTAAACTGAGAATTGATAGTGTTGAAATCTGGTTTGGATTAGTTCGACTGTGGTTGAATTGAATACATATTGCTGTCAGGTGTATACCCAACTCTTGATTTCATAGTTCCACTTGTACCACAGAAAATCATGTATATAATATCTTATTTTAACTTGATAAATCGGTACATTGTAAAAAGGAGGATATTTGTTATTGAAAACAGCGCACATTCCATAGATGTCCCAAACCTAGACTTTTTATATATTTCCTTTTCCCAACGGTTTATTTGCACGTACCTAAACATTGGGGTAATACACAAACTCATGAATTCAAACCTGACCTTTCCTACCTTCTATTTATTCCCTATATCCCTCCCTTTATTAGCACTTTATGCCAATTCATGGAAAAAGGATATATAAAACAGACACCGAAAATGCAAGATTAAATATTTTCTAGCTGTTTGAGGGTGTTGTGGACTTAATCTCTGAGGGTTATATGCAGCTGATATTTTTATTTGCCATTTTGCTGTACGTAAAAGGCTGTAACTGTACCTATTTTGTTTATGATTTTATTCATTTACTGCTATTTCTATACATTGCCCTTGGTAGCATTAACCTAAGAGTTTCCCATTATTTAGATGCAAAAAAATAATTTTGATGGGTGAATACATATTGATTGGAATTTTTCTGTGTAGTGATAGCTCCTATGATCTAGAGGATATGACCATCCTGTCATGAAGAAATTTAGCTTGAGGGGCAGGAGATGTGAACATGCTGTCATTGGAAAATCTGGCTGTGAGGCGTCGTGTTGCGAACTTGTGTTTCAGCTGAAGGCCGGAGTGACAGGAAAGATTCACCATGAGTGCACAAATCTCTTGGAAGGTGATAAGACTCATTTGGTGTTTAGAACGGGTTTTTGCATAATTCCCTTTAATAAAGGAGTGTGGAATGTAGTGTTCGTGAGCCATGCCTAGAAGAGCATTGGCTCCAAAGTTACTATGATGGTAACTCAGCGGTCTCAAATATGCTTTTTCATGACCGGGATTTTTGACAACTGCTAGCCTTCATACCATGAAAAGTGCCACCGAGAAATGTTTTGTTTACATTGTCGTGTCAATTACAGGCCACTTTTATGACAATACGTATTGTCTAACAAGCATGTGGGTAGGATATGGTTAGAATGTTCTGTGCAGGTATCATGGAGGCCCAGGGAGCAGAGCCTCATGCCAAGGCAGTATATGGTTATAACACATTGTATGATAACTGTGGTGGTGTGTATTCCTGTAGATTTCAAATCTAAATGGTTGCCTGTGGAATTATTTGGAAGCTGGCACCTTTAGACTTTGAGCGATGAATGGGCAGACTGTTGATGTTCCCTAAGCAATTGTTTTTTCCTTCTTTCTTATTTCTTTGTGATGTTTTTAGACATCTTTTCTGTATTGATTCTATTCCATTCTCCTTTACCCTGTAATTCACCTGGTATGTTTTAGGCACTCCATATTATTGGGAAAATTGATTTTGTTGGTCTTGAAAAGAATTACCGAATGTTCTGTAAAACCTGTAATAGTGGAAGAAGTACAGACAAATACAAATTGTGTGATTGTTGTTTATGAATAAAGCAAGTGGCACAGTGATTTTTTCCTTAGTCTGGTAGCAAAAGGGTTGTCATTATTGTTTTTAAAATCCACTAAAAGAGAAGTTGTAAACAATAGACAGTAAAGCAGTAAATCTGCTGATTGCCACTAAATTGGAACTGTGTTTGCATATGGGGACTAAAAGAGGTTATTTTGATTTCCTAAGCATCCACATCTGCGACCTCACTTTTTGCAATATTTCAGTACTTGAGAATTTTTACTACCTTGCATAACCCTAAATTAACATAATTTAATCATCTTTGTGCTTGTCTATTCCTAGTCGTAAGACATTTCTTTAATGTATTTCTCAGACATTTGAAATTTTTTAACCCTTTATGAACCACATTTACTTACCTTGGCAACACAGAATATAGCTCTTGTATTTAAACTTTTGTGTACCTGAATAAAGTTCTTGGATAGTTTTATTGTAGAAATATTGCATTTATATGATGAATTCATCATGTTGGACACTAACCTTTGGAAAAATGATTTAATTATTGTAATAAGAGTAAGGAATTCATCACGACGGGCATGAAACATTTGAAAAAACAGAAGAGAAATTCCATGCTCCCATTATATATTGTGTGCTTCCCCTCAGGCTTCATGAGTTCTGGTTGGTCTCATCTGACAGAGGGTTACTAGATAAATTCTTCCGATCTGACACAAAGGGTACTAAATCTTCTGTCCCACTGAAAGCTAGAGGAAACTTTTGCAATTACTTTATCTGACTGGGCAATATAGTATAAATGGTTGGAATTGTGAGTCCATTGATTATTTTTTTAATGAATTATATTTGAAAGAAGTGGTGTAACATTTGCTGAAAGTCAAGTGAAGGTACACTTTACTAGTTAGTATGTCTGAGAGCAACATATGTGGCACTGATGTATATGGATAGTTTAAATTACATGTTAGATCTTAAAAAATACTTCAGTGTATTATCAATCATCTGTTACCAGCAATCATAATTTTAACACTTGGAGTTATCAGGTATTATGGAAGGGGAAGGGGTTCCTAGTAAGTGATATAAGTGCATCCACCACATGTATGCATACATTCTGTCTCTTCCTCTTTCTCTTTGTCCATCTCTATGTCTCATTCTCATCCTCATGTTCTCTTTCTGTTTCTTTCTCATTGACACTAGTCCCTGGAATACCCCTGGAACGAGTAATTATTTTCTGAACATTTATACCCTATTGTTATTCAGATATGCGAAAGTACCTTAGCAGTAAGTTTCAAAGTCAGAACTGGGCTGTGGGAATTCCTGAATCGTGCAAGGACTATGGTTTGGGGTTTTGGAAAATCTTAAGAAAATGCAGCGTTGAAGTAAAGCTGTTGTTTTAAATAAAAGATACCAAAGTTGTATGCTAGTTTGGCCCTGTTTGTGATCATTAAAGAGATATTATCTTGCATAGTGGGTGTTAAAGGCTCTGAAGTTTCTTTTTTAAAGAAATCATTTGCGATACAGCCAAAATTGCAGACAGTAGGGAAAGCATATGGCTCACATTCTTGAAAAATGTTCATATACAGATGGATTTGATGTAGGTAAAAAAGAGGAAAATAGAATTTGTAGTAGCTGAGTAAAGTATATTACTTATATAATGCATGTCATCATGATCAGTATCATAATTATCACTACCATCACCAACCAGATTAGTAAATGATGGGGCTAGTTACTTCAGTAGAGACATGGTGATGACAGGACAGGAATGTGATCTAAAATGTCACTTCACTTTTGGATGTGGAATGTCACCAGTCCATTAGGGATGTAAACTGGCCTAATATGAAGATTGATTTTTGTACCCACTTCAATTTTTGACTTTCAGTTCTTGGTGGTTTAGCAGCAGAAAATAGCAATTCAGGTCTTGAAGAATTAGGAATATGATAGTTCTTAGTTCCTTAGAGGGAGATCATTTCACATTTTTTTTTTCATCATTCTTTATTTTACCAATGTATTAGTTATTTTCTTTTCTATGCTTTTGCTTGACCATCCTCTTTATCATTATCAATATTGTGTCAAGAAATAGCTAGTATGTAGTTGTGTCACTGTTGTTTGTAGTATACAGCTCTTGCGTACATATAAATGATAAGAATTACGGTTCACAAGAGTACAAGTAGATGTTCTTGTATGGTAGTCCCAGTTTGTTACCATATAACCAGATTATTTCAATCATAACTTTTATTGTCTTTTTTCAGAGGTACACAATGTCATCTGACTCGGAAGAAGAAAATGGAGTCAGGCATGATAAAGATGACAGTGATGGAGGCAACTATGATGGCAGGTCAAGATCCCACTCCAGGTCAGCATCTCCAGATCAGAGGTCAAATCGGCAAAATATGTCCGACAGAGAGGACTCAGTGGAGGGAAGGGAGAATGGGATGAGAGGAGAGTCAGATATGGAAGAAAACAGAGGCCAAAAGGAGTCCAGTCACTCAAGGACTCCCGAGGATAAGGAAATGATTGAGTGGAGTGGGGAAGCAGAAAGAGACGTTCGCGCAGCAGAAGTGGTGAAGCTGAGGATAAAGTGGCATCTCGTAGTCGTAGTAAGAGTAAGCAGAGGGAAGTAGACACCAGTAAAGAAAGGAAATCTAGTTCGTCATCAAAAAAGAAATCTCGCTCCAGAAGGTCTCGCTCACGGTCAAGGAGCAAGAAGCGATCTCACTCTCGAAGTAGAAGATCTCGCTCCAGAAGTCGAAAGAAATCCAGATCGAGGTCCCGATCCCGTGGATCAAGGTAGGAGCTCAGAATATTTTTTCCTGGTTCTCAGTTAGGCTCAGTGGATGTTCTTTTCTGTTGTATTCACATTTTATAACTGAGTCGGACAATGTGAAGCACTGGAAAATCTTATCATACTGATTGAAAATTATATAATTCCTTTCTTAAACTTCTTGTCTCTGACACAGACGACGATCACGTTCTCGATCAAGAAGGCGTTCAAGATCTCGATCTAGAAGTGGAACTCCAGTGGATGGAGCTCGTCTTCATGTAGCTGAGCTAGGTATGTGTGGCCACTGGTGTGTGTTTATATTTCAAATGTTATGTAGTATATTACATTTTTTTTTTTTTTTCTTGTAGATTATTTATTAGAATAAAAAGTGAATATGCATGTTGCAGTTCTTTGCAGACTTGTATCTTCAAAGTGTGTAAAATATAATGGCAGATTAGCTTGGTTCATTTCTATTTATTCCCCGTTCAAGAGTGGCTGATTTCCTACTCATTATACAAAGCAGTGCTTCAGGCATGGCTATCATCTCATCCTGTTTGCCACTGTTGAAGTAATAACATTTCTTTGTTGTTCTCTTTTTCTGTACCCATTTTGTTGTTTTTAAGCTGAGAATTGCAATTTAAATTTCCTATGTTTACAGATGTTGACACACGCAAGAGGGACTTAGAGCGAGTGTTTGAGAAATATGGAAGACTGCGGGAGATCTGGATGGCTCGGAATCCACCTTGTTTTGCGTTTGTGGTTTATGCACATCAAAAGGATGCAGATAGAGCACTTAAGGAAACTGATGGAATGTAAGCTTCTAGTGTTTCATTTGTTTATGTATTGACCCATTGCTGCTGGGGATGGCAAATATGTACATGATATGCCCACTATGTGTTTCGTTTCTCAATTGTATTTGCACATAGATGACTCCGTAAATACTTGGTCACCAAAGAGTCAATTACTATTACTCTCTTTATCCTGTTTGCTCTTTTCCTTCTGGATTAGCAGAAATATTCTCTTTCAACATATATTGCTATTAGTAATGATAATGATGTTATGATAACTGTAATAGGTATGGGAAGATAGCAGCATCAATATTAATAACATTGAAAGAAAGTCTAGAAAATTGAAGGAAAAGTGAGATCAGGTGAGGTCATGGACTCTACTAATTGGCTCCTTGGTGGCTAAGCATTTGTAGAGCCATCTATGTATCTATGTGTATACGTCTTTCACAAGACTAAATTATAGTGAATGTTGAATGTTCCTGGCAGTATTAGGTTAATGCCATTTTGTGTGTGATCTTTATCCCTTCGTAGTGGAAGGGCTTTTGGGGCAAGATTGGTATAGAATAGGAATTACTATTATTGGCTTGACAGGTTTATAGGTTCTGTGCTATGCATTTATTTTTTCATACATTAATATGTTATTAGTCATGAAACTGTAAGATGATTATGGAAATACAAAAGCTATTCTACACTTTCCATATTAGATATAGAGTCATTACTTAGTTTTCCAGTTGTGATAGTCACTACTTATGTGTAAGTGAGAAAATAGCATTGTATTTGTTTTGAGTATGTAGAGTTAGCAGTAAAATTAAAACAAAGATAATTTTTCAGAATGATTGGCCACTGCCGTATCAAGGTCACTCAAGCAAGGCCTCGTGTTCGTGGTGGACGCATGAGAGGAGCTTATGACCCAAATCTACGGTGTTACCAATGTGGTGAACTAGGTCACTTTTCTAGAAATTGCACAGACACCAAGTTTGGCTATAAGCGACCCCCAACTCCTCCAGGGTGAGTTAATGTCCCAGGACTCTTGACTTTTGGTCTTTGACCCAACAGTTACTTAACTTTGAGTGGGGTAGGTAAAAGATCAATTGGTGACTTTCTGTTCCCCTAAGGTTTGATATCTCCTATATTACTTAGGAGAGGACCATTAACCTTAGAGTAAGAGTGGGTCTCCATTGTCTGCTGCCACTTTACAGATTTCCTCACCCAGAATATCATTTTTATTTCGTACATCATTATTCATAACACAAAAGATGGCTCCATATGACACATGCAAAATACCCTTTAACTTGATTTTGTGACCCTAGCTCATATTTCTTTTTTTTCAATATAATATTGGTCTTAGGGCTGTTGGTATGGAGCTCCTTATACCATATTTCTTACCTGTGTCATAGGCAGCTTTGGTCATAAGATTTTATTATGTTTATTTTTTAGCATTGAAATTTAATGAGCCCTGTTCTTGTTCTTTTACTTGTACCATAGCAATGAAATAGTCACCCTAATTCTATGACATTGCTTAGAAAATTTTGTAAGATTAGGAAGTTATATATGTTACATGTAATACTGATATATAA